CAAATTTTGTTAGGTCAGGCTTCGGATCTTTTTATGAGGGCCGGGCTCGGTCTTAGTCTCGGGCCTGAAAAAGTTTTATTAATGATGAGCAAAAGCTTGGCCTGAGCTCAGCCCGACCCGGCCCATCAACAAGTCTACTTACCAGACTCCACAATAACCATGAAGGTCAAGTACATAGTGATACTAAGGATGTGTTTAATAACAGCTGTAAGTGTCTGAACGGAATAATTTATTGCTTTATCTTTAAATGGATAAAATAATTAAATAATAATATATTCATAAAAATAATAACCATATGATCCATTGGAAGGATTTTTATGCAGCACTTGGGGCTCGGATATGCTACCCACCAATTGTTCCCACATCCCTACTCATGGGATATAACAGCTGCACATTGGGGATATCTCATTTTTCATTCAGAGGGAGATGTTTTCAATACACGGTGGCAGTGTTATGTGGGTATATGTGAGAACATTTTGTGGATAGCAGATCTAGAGGCGCAGCTTCAAACTTTGCAAGGTAAAGTCTATAGACCTCACAAGGACAGCCTATAAGCTACGTTTGATGAAAAATCCAAAAAGCCCAAATACACTGTTGCTTAGAAAAATAAAAAAAAGGCTTTGTAATAAAGCATCTTTTAGCTTCTTTCAAGCCGCTCTGCAAAAACAGCTCAATGAAAGCTTCAGCCCTCCGAAAGGGGCCGTCAACCAAAGGACCAAATTTCAACTTCACTGTTTCCAAACGGCCCCTAAATCTTTTAGTGGTACTCAAATCATTGCACATACAGTCCAGTCCTCCACTGAAGCCAGTTCGGATTTCCTACCTTAATCAATTACGTTGTGTGAGGTGTTGGTACATGTGCGAGAGTAGTTGTTCTTTACATCGAGTCTTGAATATCTGCTACATAGTGATTGGTGCAGGAAGAGCAGGAAGTTCAGACTCCATTGAAGTATGCATATTAATACCGCAATATCATTATTTCGGATGCAGGAAGAAACGACCTTTGTTGCTGAAGCATACGATCTCCGCTTACAGTTTTTATTGATGAGTGACCGAACCTGTCAGGGGTCCGGTTACTCGACTGTTCGACTCCAACGGTTGGCCCGTTTTGATAAAAATAAAAAATTGAAAAATGGTTAAAATCGTTCGAATAGTTAATTAGTCGGTTCAACAGTTTTTTGATCAAAATCAACGATTTTGGAGAAAAATGAAACTGACTAAATCCCGGTTTTTTCAATCCGGTTTTGAAAACCATGGAAAGTAACAATTATATTTCTGTCACAAAAACAACATAAATTTCTCTTACATTCAATTAAGCGTGTTAAAAAGATTAATAACAAACAGAGATCATCATCAACGGATCCAAGACAAACAAGAATTCAAACTCCCAAGAGATATACGCTTTGTGGTCTCAAGAATTAATTAATTAAGCTTGGTGTGTAACAATAACGTAACATGTCAACCACTGAGCTAGCTACTGGCTCCACCCCAAGAGAGAAAGAGAGAGATCTTTGACAGATACCGAGTAGCGAGCACTTCTGTGTTCATCTCGACTCAAGTGCGGAATTGCAGTCCACGAGAACCTTTTGGTTTCTCTTAGAGTTAGAGGTCTAGATCTATATACGTGTCTCGAACCAGTACTTGGTGATAATGACGGGCAATGGTGGCTTATGGATCGAGCACTAACCTCTAAAGGCTTCAATCTTAAGATAATGATCATTTATATTTTAAACTAAATGGTTTACAATGGGATTCACATTATGACCACTATAAATACTTTATTCTGTCTTGAAAAAAAAAAAAAAAACAAAGAAATAGTAAAATAACGTCTTATTATTATTTATCTATGTAGCTTTTAGAGATAGGGTTATATAGCCATATAGACCTGTGGACTGAGCTGCTTCAGGCCTTATAGCAAATAAAATAAAGAAAAAAAGTGCTAAACCAGGCTTTCTATTGGTCAATCCTTGTTACATTCTGATTGATGCTGAGCATTTGTGCACAGATTTTGTTTTTATTCTTGTTTTGCTGACCATTTGTGACAGGGTAATCCTTACAAGTGTTGCCAGGTCAGCTGCACAGAAGGACCCAGAATAGACTTTTCCTTTTATTAATTCTTCTTTTGCTATTCAAATGGGTTACAGCAAAACTCTAGCCAGCAGGTCTCCTTGTCCAGTGATTTGTTAGGACATATCAGATACATGCATAGCCCAAAAATAGTTTTACTATAGTCGTCTCATCATTCTCCATGTGTTTGCTCCAAAATGTCTATGTTTAGCATTTAGACCTCTTATGACAGTTGACACAAATAGTTTTTGATGTTTAAAGTTAACAGAAAGCAAGTGTTGTCCTCTCTTCTATAATATATTTATCTCTTCAAGAAGTTCCCTAACAGAAAGCAATTAAGTGGTCCTCCTTCAATTCATTGTATTAAATCACATAGAAAGATCCAACTTTAATTCTTTTGTTGCTCTTTATTTTTGGCTCTTGCCTATTTGCTTCTTGTTCTATATCAACACAATTGACACTCTGCTCTGCAATAGCCGCCTGTTCTTAGATGCAAGTGGTAATTCCGATCCCTCTTGGTGTTTGTTAGGGAATTAACGATTGGTGTATGGGCTATTATGATATGTTGAATTGAGTTACTGTTCGGGTCATGGCTGAATTGGCTCTGGGTGCCACGTGGCCGTTCAGTCATCTTCCCGGTGTAGTGCCGTGCTACCATCTTCGTGGTATACATCAACTCCGTGGCCACGACAGTGCTATGCTACTCCCGTGGTTCCTACCTTATTCTCTCAATCATGTCAACTCTACGTCATGCGGATAAGCACAGCCAAGAATAGGAGAGCGAATGGAGACAGCTCCGTTGGGGATTAGTACTCATCCCGAAGACCTTGGCGGTTAACCTCATCCCAACAACCCCGGAAACCCAATCCGATCAGGATACAAACCTTCAGCTATAAAAAGGTACTCCCCACTCGAGGTAAGGGATCCAAGTTCTAGCTCTCATACCATTATACTGCTTAGACCAACACTGTTCTCCAACTACTCGGCCTGATTACCTACCACCCTCTACTGACTTGAGCATCGGAGTATCTATCTAGGGATAACTCTTTGTGCCTTTGACATTTTTTTGTTCGCAAATTCCATTGCACGGCTTCGTCCTTCCACTTCAGCTCCACCCTATTGGCAAGGATTATCTGACTGTGACCTCGGTTCTTGCACTACTTAGCAAATGGACGCCGCCCCAGGTGGTCTTCGTCGCCGAGTCTAGTTCGGTTAAAGACCACCCAACACGACCCAAGAAAGAGAAAGACATGCATGTCACGGTCCCAGGTGATAGGGACACAGAGATCCAAGAGCTCCAACAATGCTTGACCAAGTTGGAGCGCAGCCAGGCCTAGAGGAGTGCGGCACCACCTGTAGATCAGCCTGTGCAACCAACTGCCTAGCCCATCAAAGAGCCACCCTTCATCCAAGAGATTGTGGACGAGATTCCCCCTACAGGAAGGTGAGCACCATAGTGTGACAAGTACGACAGGAATACCAATCCCGGCGACCACATCGAAGAACTAAAGGCCTAGATGGTGCTACACGGTTCGTCCGAGGGCTTGATGTGCATAGCTCTCGTGGCCACCCTTAAAGGTCCGGCCCTAACCTGGTACTCATCTCTTCCCCTGCGCTCCATAGCATCATGGGAGCAGTTGGAGAGCTAGTTTCTAGCACAATTCACGGCAAGCCAGAAACACTAGAAGACTTCTGCCAGCCTCATGCAGGTGTGGCAAAGGAAGACAGAATCTCTTAGAGACTACCTGGCAAGATTCAACATTGAAGAACTACAAGTCTGGAACTTGAACCAGTCCGTGGCTGTCACAGCCATATAGCATGGACTCCGCCCCTCCCCATTTAACTTCTTCATATCTAATAATCCTCCTCAGATACTAGCCACACCAATGAGCCATGCCCAAAAGTACATCAGTGCAAAAGAAGCCCAAGCACAGTTAAGAGAAGAGGAGTGGCCTAACAGGAAGAGAAGGGCTGCCGAAGACCAAAAGATGGAGAGGGATCGAGACAACAAGTGGCAAGACCATCGACCAAAGAGGAGGTCGTGCACACCACCTATGACCTTCTAAAATTTCATGCTGCTAACTACTCCGCGGTCTGAGATTTTGATGTAAACCCAATACAACAAGTACGTTCAATGGCCCGAGAAGATGAAGACCCAAGCCAACAAGAAAAATCATGACAAATATTGTGACTTTCATTGGGACCACGACCATGAGAACGACAACTGTCTCGACCTCAAGCAACACCTTGAAGACCTAATCAGGCGCGACTACTTGGCAGGGTTCACTGACAGAAAAGAAAACCCTACTAAGGCAGAGCCGTGCCCCAGGTCCCCTGGTCGAGCTCCCTCGGCCAGAGTTATAGTAGTAATCTCGGGTGGAATGGCTTCCAGGGGAGAGAGCAGCTCAGGCAAGAAGAGGTACACGTGCTTAAATGGAGATTGATGATAGGGAACAGAAGAAGAGACAAGACGAACTAGTCACATTCACTAAAAACGACCTCAAGGGAGTCCAAACCCTACATGATGATGCTCTAGTAATCACGGCTGAAATTGCAAATTACGAAGCTCGACGCATCCTGGTGGACATTGGGAGCTCAGTCGACATCCTATTCGAAGACACCTTTGATCAGCTCGACATTAGTAGAGATCATCTCACATCGGTCAACACTCCCCTGAAGGGCTTCTCCGTGGAGAAACTTATGCCAAGGGGAAGGATTACCTTGCCCCTACTAATTGGCGATGGTGATATCACCTCAACATCCATGGTAGACTTTAATGTCGTTCGATGCCTATCATCCTACAACACCATCCTCGGCCGACTAACTCTGAATGCTTTGTACTATCCACTTTCCACTTGGCCATGAAATTCTTGACCCCATATGGAGTGGGAGTGGCCCAAGGAGACCAGAAGGCGGCACGACAATGTTACCTAATGACCTACCGAGGAAAGCAGCCAGCCGCAGAGACCCTTATGACAGAAAGCATAGATCTGCATGACGAGTTGAGAACACAGCATGATCAACCTATTGAAGATCTCATCCAGGTGCCACTCTCCGAGAAAGACCCTGAGAAGACTGTCCGGGTCAGCTCTCTCCTAGACAACCACCTACATGAAGACCTCATCCAGCTTCTCAGGGAACACACTGATGTGTTTGCATGGTCGGCGGCAGACATGCCAGGGATTGACCCCAAGGTCATCACCCACTGTCTCAACTCCGACCCGCTTTATCGACCAATCAGGCAGAAGAAGATGAGCTTCGCTACAGAACGGTGGCAAATCATCAATGAGGAAGTCCAAAAGCTACTCGATGCCGGCTTTATCCAGGAAGTAAAGTACCCAGACTGGCTGGCCAACGTAGTGATGGTGAAGAAAGCAAACGGGAAGTGGAGGATTTGTATTGACTTCAATACCTGAACAAAGTTTGTTCCAAAGATAGCTTCCCCTGCTAAGGATAGACCAGCTCATCGACACAACGACGGGGCATGCTTTATGGATGCATTCTCATTATACAGTCAGATCCAAATGCATCTCAATGATCAAGAGAATACCGCTTTCATCACTGACCGCGGACTGTACTGCTACAAGGCAATGCCCTTCGGCTCAAGAACGCCGGCGCTACTTATCAGCGGTTGGTGAATGAGGTGTTTAAGGATTAGTTCAGCCACAACATTGAAGCGTATGTCGACGATATGCTCGTGAAAAGCAAGAAGGGCAAACACCATTTAGCTAATCTTAGGGAAGTCTTCGACAACCTTAGGAAGTACCAGATGAAGCTAAACCCGACCAAGTGTGCCTTCGAGGTCAGTTCGGGCAAGTTTCTAGGGTTCATGGTCACTCAACGAGGAATCGAGGCCAATCCAAAGAAAATCTAAGCCATCCTTGATATGCAGTCACCTCGAACTCACAAAGAAGTACAACTTCTTACTGGCAGCTAGCCGCCCTTAGCAGTTACATGTCCAAGTTCGCAGACCGATGCCTGCCCTTCTTCAAGGCTTTGGAAAAGGTCAACGACTTCTTGTGGACCAAAGAGTGTGAGCAGTCCTTCTAGGAGCTGAAGAGGTACCTAAGCTCACCACCTCTCCTCACTAAGCCGAGCCCTGGGGACAAGCTGTTGCTCTACCTCTCATTCAGTGATGAGGTGATCAGCTTAGTATTGGTCAAAGAAGAGGACCGAACACAAAGGCCGATCTTCTACACAAGTAAAGTCCTCAACGGCACGGAAACTCAGTACTTGAACCTAGAAAAAGTAGCCCTTTCCTAATCACCGCGGCAAGGAAACTCAGGCCATACTTCCAAGCCCACAGCGTCTGCGTCCTTATCGACCAACCCCTCAGACAAGTATTATAGAGACTGGAAGAATCTAGCCGCTTAATCAAGTGGAGTGTGGATTTGAGTGAATTCGACATAGAGTACACTCCTCGGCCTACCGTCAAGGCCCAAGCCCTTGCTAATTTCTTAGAAGAGTGCATGTTCACAGTACAGGACCTAGTCTCGACACTGCAAATATGGACTCTCCATGTGGACGGTTCATCCAACAAGCAGGGCAGTGATGCTGGCCTCTTTCTCTTTGGGCCAGAAGACATAGTGCTGGACAACGCTTTAAGGTTCAAGTTCAAGGCCTCCAACAACGAATCCGAGTATGAGGCTTTGATTGCCGGACTCCGACTGCCCTAAACCTCGGTGCGTGGCATGTAGAAGCCTTCAACAACTCCCAGTTGGTGGTCAACCAGTTCCCTGGTCAGTTCGAAACGTGAACCCCAACGATGGCAAGTTACCTACAAAAGGTATAGGAGCTCGTTCAACAGCTCGATCATTTCACTATCCAACAGATCCCTCAAGCTGACAACATCCAAGTAGATGCACTCTCCAAGCTGGTAAGTTCACTGTAGACTGACCTCGACATAACGGTCTCGGTTGATGTCCTGGCCCAACCAAGCATTGCTCCGGTGGCACTCCTCACCCTTCCCGTGTAGCAAGGCTCGTCTTGGATGGATCCCATAGCACAATACTTATAGGACGACAAGTTGCCTGAAGACCACACAGAAGCAAAGAAGCTTGTGCATAGAGTCGCCCAGTATTGCCTCATCCAAGGAAAACTCTATTGCCAGTCTCACACTCTCCCCTACCTGAAATGCCTCTCCCCTTCTGAGGCCAACTACATCCTCCAGGAGATACACAGAGGAATCTGTGGAGATCATCCAGCGCCCGAACCCTAGCTCACAAGGCACCTTGCCAATGATACTACTAGCCAACTATGAAGCAGGACGCCACCCAGCTCGTCAGAAAATGTGACCGATGTCAAAGGCACTCCAACCTTCATCACCAGTCATCGGTCCCCCAAAAGCCGATCACCAGCCCATGGTTGTTTGCACGGTGGGTAATGGACATCTTCAGCCCTTTCCCTACCGCGGTCGGGCAAAAATGGTTCCTTCTAGTCACCATAGACTAATTCACCAAGTGGGTGGAAGCCGAAACCCTGGCATGCATCATCGCTCATAATGCCTAAAACTTTTTCTAGCAAGGTGTTGTCTACCGCTTCAATATCGCTTGGGTTCTCATCACCGACAACGGTACGTAGTTCACTGACTAGAAGTTTGTAGCGCTCTGCACTGACCTTAAGATCAACCATCGGGCTATAACTGTCCATCAACCTCAGAGCAATGGGCAGACCGAAGTGACTAACCAAACCCTACTGCACGGCCTAAAGACTAGGCTAAGGGAAGGTGGGTCAAGGAGTTGCCAAGCATTCTCTAGGTGTACAAAACCACACTACGAATAGGCACCGGAGAGACACCCTTCAGCCTTACCTACGGGGCCGAGGCCATGATCCCTGTTGAAATAAGCTCACCAACTCCCTCCATCTTATATCCCAACCGTTCAATCTAGGGCACCACCTATTCTTTTAATCTTAACCCTTCAACCCTAGATGTTCTAATCTACACCCTCCATTTCTGGCTGCCCAAATCTCATTCCTACATAATATTGGGCGCTTTCTCCTTTTATTTTCAGACATAGGATCACCCCAAAACCATCTTAGCCATCCATTAGAAATCCTAGGGCATCCATAACTTTGCTATATCTCAACTATCACCCTCCATCTTTCTCCCTATTTCTAGTTGTATCCACCATTCTCTATAAAAAGGGTCCCATGGGCCCTGTAGAAGGGGTTGGTCAATTCACCCAGGTAAGAAGGAAGGCTGATCTTGAGAAGTTCAAGGGTAGAGGAAGAGGAGGGGCTCCTACTTGCAGTTTGCCAACACCACTACTGCCACCTCTGGATTTGAATCCCAACCATATTTTCTTCAGTTTTAGAATTATTTTTTGTTCTTTAGTTTCAGTTTATTTTTCCCCCATGCAAATTTACTTTTATTAGATTTAATTTGTGTTTTAATTCTCTTCTATAGATCTAAAATTTGAGGGTGGAAGGAGAGATCTAAAAATTGCTACCTCTGATCAGATTCTCAAACATTTTTATTTTGTTTCGTCTCTTTATTTGTTTCTATTACTTATTTATTTTTATGCACTTGTTATTCTCAGTACTGTTCGAATTTGGTTTTAATGAATTCCATTTTTTTTATTAATTAATTTTATATTTTTGCAACTCTCCTTTGTGTTATCTTGTCTAGATCTAAGAAAATATTAATTTTTCCCTCGCTTCCCTGTGGATACGACCTGTTCTCACCATTTACTACGTTTATAGTTGTTGTGAGAAACAAAAAAATTATAAATGTTTAAACTGGTGTTTCAGAGTGATTAACGACACGCTTCCGGATACACCAAGTTTTTTGCGTCGTTGCCGAGGAAGCATAGAGAAAATATTTTATTTACTTTTTCTGGATCTGTTTCATTATTTTTTCTTTTTAGTTTGATTACTTGATCCATTATCTTAGTTTAATTCTTGTTTCTCTTTGATTCTATAGGACGGAATAGCGAAAGGTGGGGTACCGGAGCATTGCAGGACTACGGGACGGAATAGAAGAGAAGAGAAATTAGATTGCGTTTCAGGTGTAGTCGTTCCATTTTATTTTTAATTTTCTTATTTTTATTTTCAGACTTTTTTTTTGTAGAATATTGATTTTCGAACTAGTCATCTTAGATCAGCAGATCCATTGTTGTTCAACATCACCCTTGTCATAACAGCCCATACACCAATCTCTATCTTAATTCCCTAGTAATAGATCATGTAAAAAGCTATGGAGAGGGATCCGATCACCTATTCTACTTTTATTTGGATTTCTTTGGTGGACAATGCGTTGTTGTTTGGAGCTTTGGCAACACTAAGTTCATGATCCCCTATGCGCATATCTCCAACTGCCAATGATGGTCCTCATCAACAAAGCAGAAGATTAATAGAGCATGCAATCCTTCGTGATTTAGCCACTGCTGAAGTGTTTGATTGACTTATGTTTCTCATCATTGCTTTGGTTTTCTTTCTTCTGTTGCTGCCAAATTTTTCATCGTCTTATAAAAGATCATCCACCAGATGTAGGTGTTGGTTAAGATTAGAAATTTTTGGTTACCATCGTCAAGAGTTGTTATCAACTCTTGTTAAAGTCTCACATCGCAATATGCACTGACCTTGATGGTTCACCTATTTGTCTCCTCACTTCAACAAACTGCATTAATCCACAACTATGATTTATGCTCCGCTCCTCATCTCCTTAATCAACAAATCATCCCAAAGCATTACATTCACACACCTCTTTAGTTGACAAGGCTATTGTCATGTAACTCTTGTTCAATCCATGCACCTCAATTAGGTGTTTTCAGTCGGCAATGATGGTGATCACTTGTGCACAATATTCAAAGCTTTCATTCAATTTTAAATAATACTTGAAGATGCCAGTTAAACTAGTTCAAATCGGTTTTGTTCAGATCGATTGGTTCATCCAGTCAACCTGGTCAAATCAGTCCAACAAGTTCAAATGGACATTGCTGCTCTTCTGCATTTTGGTAGGCGCATTCTAGTTTTCAGCCCATAGTGGCCATTGGTGTGTTTTGGCCTATGACGACCCATTTGAGCAAAAAAAAAAAAAAAAAGAGAGAGAATAAACAAAAAAAAAAAGAAATCCCATTGAGGCATTGCCATTTGGCTCATAGTGGCAATTTAGCCTATTAAGGTTTTTTTTTTCATTGACCTATTAAGGTGTTTTATTGGCCCTTGTTGGCCTATTTTGATATTGGCCGGATATGGCCTATTCTTTGATCAGCTCAAGAAGCCAACCCATTGTGGCATTCCTAATTGACCCACTAAAAGTGAGGTCTTTTCATGGCTTATTTTCAATTTGGCCCATTGACAATTTTCACCATCAACCCATAGAGACTCTCTCTTGAGGAAGTAATATCATGCTATCAGCACAGCCATGTCATCATTAGTTTGCCACATTATCACAGCAGACTTGGAGATTTGGACA